TAACACATGCACTAACACTTGTTGTTAGTCCAGATCCTGTCCCAATGTTATCTATAGCCAGTATGACTTCATAGAGAGCTGCAGCTAACTTCCAGATATGCCACTGGAAATGGCCTGCTTCTGATCGCCAAAGGCCTATGGACATTTCCTTTTGCCCAATGTTTGATTGATTTCCTGCCCAATCGATAATTTGCATTTTACTGGAAACATTAAAACACATTGGGTGTTGATTAAAACATTATTTCCATCTAATAACTTTGTTAAAAATCTTGTCCCACATTCTCTGTGGGTACCGATCCACAAGGTCACAGCTCATGAGGATCGGGGCAAATCCCATATAATGTATGGGCATGCCTATCTCTATGCTTTGAGTTACAGTTTGTAAAACCTTTTTCTTCCAAGTTTGAAGAAATACTGAAATACACCCATCATTTGTACTATTCTTCACAATGCAAACAGGAATCCCATCATCAAATGCACTGAACATCACAGTCTTATTATAAATTGACTCCCCTGTCCAGGGAGATCCAAGAAATTGAGTATTATTACTTGTCACAAGAATATCGAGTCTGGACCACACTGCTAGATGTATTAGTGGTGGGTCAGGAATGTAGGCCCAGTGGACTTCACCATGTGCAGGAATCATCATCATCAGTAGGGGAATCAGTAGGAAGGTTGGGATTGTTCCATTTGTTGCACCAACCTTTCCAGCAACCACTGTGACCCATTTTCTTCCTGTGAAAAAGCACAAACCTGACCTTGTCCCCATAGGAGTACAGGGTTGGGTCCATGCTATTGGCCTGTCATAGGATCCTTCCATTTCACTGAAGCATACATAGTGGAAGTGTGAAGATGCCAAAAATGCTTAGCTGCTGAACGTCCATGAACATCCAAATTTTAAAAATTTAGAATGAAAAGAGCATATTTAAATGGTTTTGTGGTGTATGGGTTCATTGCACAATACCTTGTCCTTGAGGACATTCCTTATAAAAGGAATCCCAATAATATGGGTAATATTGAATTGCCAACAGAAAGGCTCAAATGCTTGACTGCAATAGCCAGTTCTATTATCTGTTTTAATCTGTTTGGGAACACCCAGTATAGAAAAACAACGCAGGCAATGACTAATTAAAATTTTAGTTGCTTCTCCTGTTAAAGCAGTTGCAGCTAGAAAGCCTGAAAAGGTGTCAATAGTCACATATACATATTTTAATTTTCTAAAATCAGAAATATGAGTAACATCCATTCACTATAATTGATTAGGTATAAGTCCTTGAGGATTAACACCATTATGTGATACAGGTAGAAATTGAGGACATTCAGGACAAGTCTTTAAAATTTGACGTGCACATTCTCTAGAAATACCAAATTGTTGTCTCAAGCTATTACTATTTTGATGATGTAAAGAATGAGATTATTTAGCAAATTGTTCCTGTGTCAGGCCTATAACCTTCCTGGTATACAAATCTCCTGTGGCATTGCCCTCACTAAGGGGTCTGAGCTCTTAAATGTCCTACAAAGGTAAGGAACAGTGCATTCTCTTGAGTTGTATTTGCATAAGTAATTGCAAAATTTGAGAATTAGAAGTAACTAAAATGGAACAGTTTTAAGTAATTGTAAACCATAAGCTATATATTGGCTACATCAGTATACAAACTGAAAGCTTGATTTTTTTTTCAATATTTCAAAAACAGTGGCTACAGCACATAGTTCAATAGCTTGTGCTGAAGTGGGGGAAACTCAAGAGAATAAACATGTGGCCCAATCACATATGCTGCCTTCCCATTAGATGAGCCCTCTGTAAATACAGTAAGTGCATTTTCTATGCGCTGCATGCGTAAATTCATGGGAAATGCAAATGCATACATAGAGGAAAACTGTAACATCTTGTCTTTTGGATAATGATTATCAATTTTGCCTAAAAAAATTGCACATGCAATAGATCAAAAATCAGTATTTTGCAATAACCAGCTGTGCTAGACTCCTAACTACAGGTGTAGGGGTCCAAAGGCCAATTGAAACTGCTTTTTCTTTTTCCTTTTTCTATCTTTCTTTTTCTTTCTTTTTTTCTTTTTTCTTTCTTTCTTTCTTTTTTTTTAACTAGTTAAAAACTGATTCAAGGGCTGAACAACCAGCAGATAAAGTTTTCACCATTTTTTTTCTTTTGAACATGAAATACAGAACATTGAAGCAATGAAACAAAAACAGAAACATAAGCTAACAGACACGGACAGACTGGTGCACCAGAGACAGACAATAGAGAGGGAAGAGGACTAGATGTCCTGAAGGGACCCAGATATTCTACCTACGGGACACAGAACAAAGCATTTCTCCAGTAGGAGCCAGAGAGGAGACAGGACATCCCTGACCTCTGCCTGTTCCTAGGAGAGCTCTGAGACAGCTTACGTTCATTTTCCTTCTCTTTCGCCAAACCATCAACAAATAGTAGGGGAGGACTGCTTCTCTCAAACCCATATCTAGGGTGTAAACTATCTCTAGTCAGGCTCCAAAGACTAAGCAGCTATGAGAATTACGTTCACTTCTCTAGATTTTAGCATAACTCTAAACACATACACAAAACACATTTTACCATTACCTTGTCCTTCTACAAGGTTTATCACCACTGGCCCAAATTTTTACTTTCCTTTGTGCACTCTTCAAATTTCTGCAGTGTCCTTCACTGTATCCCACTTACTGGATGTCCAATGTTGAGGTGCCATCTGACCAAGCTAGCTCAGGCAGTCAACAGGTTCTTGAGTGCAGAAGTGAGGATTAAAAAGAAAAAAAGACGATTAAACAACACTGTAGCATGACTCCAGCCAGTTATGAGGCCGCAGGCAGGTTTTTTTTTCCCAATTTGCTTTTATACCATTTTATTTACATGCAAGTTTTTAGGTCAGTTCTAGGTTGAGGAACAAGCAATACAATAAAGGCAAATCGTAGTTAAAAAAAAAAAAAAAAAAAAAAAAAAGCAAGGCAATAAGCAGAGTCCCATGATCACTCCTGTGATCACTGTTTCCTAGGGCTTATCAGGATGACCAAAATATTTGAGCCTATTTCCCTGTCCTACCCCAAAATCATATTTATACCTGAAGCCTACTTCTTTGTTCTAGCCTAAGATTTAGATTCCTGACTGAAATTACTTCTCTGTTTTAGCCTAAAATTAGAATCCTGCCTGAACTTACTTCCTTTTCCTTTGCCAATGTCAGATTCCTGCCAAGCGTCCCCAAAAGCTTTCCACAACCAGCCATGTATGCCCACACTGATCACACCTGCCCTATGTGCACATACTGATGACAATCTGCCATGCGTGGACACAGTGATGACAACCTGCCATGTGTGTACATACTGATGACACGTGCCATGTGTGCACACACTGATGAAAACCTGCCATGTGTGCACACACTGATGCCAACCTGCCATGTGTACACACACTGATGACAACCTGCCATTTGTGGAAATACTCGTAACAACCTACCATGTGTGTACACACTGATGACACCTGCCATGTGTGAGGACACTGATGACACCTGACACATGTGTACACACTGATGACACCTGCCATGTGTGTACATACTGATGACAACAATGATTGTAAGGGGCAGCCCTGCTTATACACTGAAGGCCTAAAATCAGCCATAGGCCTGACATACATGCCTGCTAGCACCAAATCTTGGGTCTCTGTGGAAAAACACTGAAACAGATGCCTAGAAGCTAGTGTAAACAAGCAGCTTTGGTGGAAGGCTGCCAAGCCTGGATAGTCATAGGCCTTGTAGATAGGTAACCTTGGTGGATAGTACCAACTTAGATAAAGACAAGTGAATCATAGGCAGAGTCATAGTGATCTGTCCCCTGAACCTTCATCCAGCTGACACTCTGTTCTGGAAGATATCTGTACTCTCCCTGAACACCTACGCCCCTGTGTCATCCCCTTTCCCACATCCTGTCTTTTTGTGTATATAACCTGTGTGTGAAAAAGTAAAAATTGTGATCTGATCAGACTATAGACAGATCATCATTTCTTTGCGTCAGCCTGTCCCCCACTTTCTCTTTCAGGTGATCTTCCCAGACCCCTGTTTAATGCCCTGCTGGACAGGACAAATGATTACAACCTCTCATGTGTACACACACTGATGACAACCTTCAATGTGTGTATATAGTGATAACGTGCCATGTGTGCACACACTGATGGCAACATGGCGTGTTTGTACACACTGATGACAACCTGCCATGTATGCACACACTGATGATAACCAGTTATGTGTGTACACACTGATGCCAACCTGCCATCTGTGAACACAGTGATGGCAACCTGCCATGTGTGCACACACTAATGACAACCTGCATTGTGTGTACACACTGATGATAACCTGCCATGTGTGTACATACTGATGACACCTGCCATGTGTGTTCACACTGATGACAACCTGCCATGTGTGCACACATTGATGACACTCTGCCATGTATGCACACACTGACGACAACCTGCCATGTATGCACACATTGATGACAACCAGTTATGCATGTACACACTGATGCCAACCTGCCATCTGTGAACACAGTGATGGCAACCTGCCATGTGTGCACACACTAATGACAACCTGCATTGTGTGTACACACTGATAACAACCTGCCATGTGTGTACATACTGATGATACCTGCCATGTATGCACACACTGATCATACCTGCCATGTGTGCACACACTGATGGCAACCTGCCGTGTGTGCATACACTCATGACAATCTGCCATGTGTCCACCCCTGATGACAACCTGCCATGTGTGCCACACTGATGACAACCTGCCATATGCACACACACTTGTGACACCTGCCATGTGTGCACACACTGATGATAATCTGCCCTGTGTGCTACACTGATGATGACCTGCTGTGTGTGCTACACCACACTCTGATGGCAAGAGTAGCTCCAACAACTGACAGCTTTGAGGCAAAGCTGCATTTTCCATCCACATTCGAAAGTGACAGAACGTGAGAATAGGTCACATAGTCAGAGCTCTGGTCTTCATTCTAGGTTGTCCAGGAACTCTCATACAGTCAAGAATGAATGGAGAGGCTGTGTAGAAAGTAGGGAGAGAAAGTTGATTCATGGCTTCATTTCTAGATGGCTGGGAGCACTTGGTGGCTTCCAGCCTCATTGTTCACGCCACCTGCTAGTTCAGTGACTTAGGGGGCTAGAAAGGACAGCTGGACTCACATAGAGCTGTCTTCATCTCTCCAAGAAAGTCATCGCTCAGTCACAGGGTTGGGGCGCCCAAAGTGGGGCACCAAAATGTCCTGTCCAACAGGGCATTAAACAGGGGTCTGGAGAGATCACCTGAAAGAGAACATGGGGGAAACAGGTGAACACAAGGAACACGGCTTGTCTACAGGCTGGTCAAACCACCATTTTTACTTTTTTACACACAGGTTACGTACACAAAAAGGCAGGATATGGGGAAGGGGATGACACAGGAGCATAGGTGTTCAGGGGGAGTATAGATATCTTCTAGAACAGAGTGTCAGCTGGGTGAAGGTTCAGGGGACAGATCACTATGACTCTGCCTATGATTCACTTGTCCTTATCTAAGTTGGTACTATCCACCAAGGCTACCTATCTACAAGGTCTATGTATTCAGCCTGGCAATTTTCCACCAAAGCTGCTTGTTTACACTAGCTTCTAGGCATCTGTTTCAGTGTTTTTCCACAGAGACCCAAGACTTTGTGCTAGCAGGCTTGTTTGTCAGGCCTATTGTTGATTTTAGGCCTATGGCTGATTTTAGGCCTTCAGTGTATAAGCGGGGCTGTCCCTGACAATGGGGGTCCACAGAGAGCCAGAGGAGACCTCTCTTCAACTGTGTTATGTTACCTTTCCAACACTGGGACAAAATACACTGCAGGAATGACTTTATAGGAAGAAAAACTCTAGTTTTTTACTCATGGTTTCAGAGAGCTATAGACCATCATAGGTAGGATGAGTGGAGAGGTCATCCTGGAGTAGGTCAACCTTCAGCTGACCACAGGCTAGCAAGACAGGGAGCAGAGGGCAGCTAGAACTAATGGCCAAGCTATACTCTTGTTCAAATCATCCCCATCATAGACCCAGTTCCACCTGCCATGTCCCATCTCTTAAAAATCCAAAACTCCCAAAACAGCACCATTTGTCAAGGAATGAGCCTTTAAAGCACAAGCATGTGGGGACCTTTTAGATTCAAACAATAATATAGCCCACCTCTCCTGACTCTGTGTCTCTGAGGCCCTGAGGTCTCCTGCATGGAGTATAAGCAGACTGAAACAATGACAGATATGAGTATTGTTTGGGCTGAAGCTCCTTTCATTTTATTAAGTTCCCCAAATAGTGGATCAATTTTGTCTTCCAAAAATAAAAAGATTGTTTTAGTAGTTTGTTGATTGCCTGTCCTAATAAGAAAATCATCTGTCCTTAGGACGTCTGTCTTATTTACAGCACTACTGCTGGCCTGCCTCCTGTTGCCACCATGTTTATTGTGCATCCGCAGAAGAAAGCATCCAATAGGACAAATGTGGACCCTACATCAATACTACCTGCCACAGGGCAAATTTTGTCTTTGTTCAAAACTTTACCAGAACTTTCCTCAGGCTTGTTTCATTTTGCCAGCTAGTTCAAGAGAATCTTTCCAAATGCTCTTTCTGCAGGAAGTGTGGAAATGTCTGGCTGTGAGTATCTGAGCCACTGAGCTCCTGTGCCCCTGAGCCCCTAAGCTCCTGAGCCCCTGAGCCCCTGAGTCCCTGAGCCCCTGAGCCCCTGAGCCACAGGCAACTCAGCTCACCACTCAGGCTCTGATGCATTTGTGTCTTCCTCATTTGTAGTTTGCCTGGACCAGACATCTTACACGCAAATGTGTGCACTTGGCTTTCTAACTTGCATCCTTCTATGACAGGACAGTTTAGGGCTGAATTTAAAATTACAGTGTTTACCACAACAAACTTGAGATGTGAACAAATTTTCTTGAGAGGAGCTTCAGAACAGAAGGGAACAAGAATGCAGACACTCAAAAGTCTTCATTTGTTTATGATAGTGTGAGGAAGCATGTGAAGGAATTGGATTCTAAAGTGATTCATGAATGGATTCCTTGACCAAAGCAAAACAAACCATAAACAGCATAAAACTGTCTTTGAGGTCATCCCACACCAGAGTTCAACCCTTCCATTCTCTTCTGCCACCCTGCATGCCTCCATCCTGCCCAGTTCTCCTTCTGGCCCTTCCATTCTCTTGGACAGCCAGACAACACAACACCCACTTACCTCTTAAAGATAAACTTCCATTAAAATACAGGGGGAAATGTCTGCATGGTATAGTTATGTTTAGATTTCATTCTTAGTTAAAAAACTGTTGTCCTTTGTAGAAGAATTGAGCATTGTTTTTGGAGTATATCATCAAGATATATATTAATTAGTTCATTTGATAGTTGTACTTCAGAGGCAGAAAATTCAACTAAAAAATAAAAACAAAGATAAGAAGATCTCCTACAGTGACTTAAAAGAAAATGAACTTCATTTAAAAATAAGGTTTAGGATAGCGTAGGTGTTGGTCAGGGCCTTTTGAAGGCCATCTTTCCATTTGGCGAGAGAGGAGCCCAAAGGAGCCTTCAGGGAGAGCCTTGGAACCTGGCACTAGATAGGTAGCATGTACCAGGTCAGGAAGCAGAAGTGCTCTCTCTAGCTATCCTGCTTTTGTGAGTAGCTTCAAACCATAAAGAGATTTTTTTGTAAGCAGAAGCTAGAGTGGGAAATAGCCCTGCAGCTGGCCTTCCAAGCCAGGCAGGATATTTTGAAAGAGCCCAGGGATTCAGGAACTGAAAGTGGGGGTTTGGGAGGCGCAAGTCACAAGAGAAGAGAGTTTCAGTTCACATTTTACCCTTGAACACACAAAGGAACACATCCCAAAAGATTAAAAGACATCCTTTCAAATTATTGATTGACATAGGTACAATATTGTCAATAAGATACTCTCCACTTGCTCCCAGTGCCAGCTCAGATGCCCTTATGAGGTCCCAGAGCTTCACAGTTATGCACATTGCTTTTCCTGGTGTCTCTTTAGATCAAAAAACAAACAACAAACAAAAACAACAACAACCAAAATCAAACAAACCCTCAACAGTTCTATTTGTCTTCTCTAGAGGAAATCAACACTGTATATGGTTTCTGTGTCTTGGACTCACTGGGTCATCTTTCTCCTTTTCCCAAGTGCCCAACCAAGGACCCAAGGCCATAATGTTCCATGGGACTCTCTTCTTATTCAATACGTGGATGACCTTTTCTTGACTCCTACAAAGGAGGAGAACTATAAGACTTAGCCACCCCTCTGCTTACTTCTTTAGCTCAGAGAGAACCTAAGAGTGCCACAGGTTAATTTGTAAGGAAAGGCAAGATTTATTCCACAGAGGTAAACTCTTTATTCTAGAAAACCAGGCACCCCAAAGATCCCCAGACAAACTAGAGAAAAGACAATTACAAGGGTTTCTGACTCTTACTGACAACTGCAAGCAGGGTGATCCCACCTTTTCTGAAATTTCTGTGTTGTTAATTTGACCTAACCAAGTCCCTAGAAACCTTTCCCCAGTGGATCCAAGGCTTCCGGAGGGGAGTTAGAGTTAGCTCCTCAGTACTGTGTGCTTCTGGCCCTACCGATGTATCATAGACCTTTCAAGATCCAAGCATGTGAGAGCTCTCACTGAGCCCTTACCTTTATAAATATCAATATCCTGTTATAGTCTTCCTCAAACCCTTTCACTCCTTCACGGCCAGCCCCTAATGATGCAGCCAAAGCAGTCTTCACGGCTGCTTTCACAACTCATGCCTTTTGCTGCTCACTAAATGATGCACACTTGTACTCATTGTAAAGGTGCCATCATTAGTATCAGGACTCAGGATGCTTGGTCTACACAGTGAATTCCAGGCCAGACAGAGCAACATAGTGAGACCTGTCTCAAAGAAAAAACCAACCTCCCCCTACTTCATACTTCCTCCAGTGAACTTCATTTTCTTTCTTAGAAACATTAATAAGACTGTTGAGGTCAAAGGTGTTTCTCTCCATGAAGAACAATAAAATCACTGGGAGACCAACATGATGTTGGCCAGTAGCTTTGGTAAGCTGGCATAAGAGCGGTCTTGACTAAAATTTATACTAAATTCTTATCTGTGAGATTCAAGATTATTTTTTAAAAATCATTTTTTTAAAGGGTCTTGTTATGTATCCCAGGTTGACTTTGAATTCTTTCTCATCCCCGTGCCTTTAGTTCCCAAATGCTATGATAGTAGGTGTGTACCGTCACATCCAACAAACTCCACTTTGTTGCTTGCCTTTTATCTCGGCAGATGTTATTAATTCAGTCACAACTCTGTGACTGTTTTGTTTGTTCTTTTTCCTATATGTTTTCACTCTCTTGAAAAAAAAAGTTGGTCATTAGAAGATGAAGGACTTGCCTCTGCTGGAAAAGAGCTAAGAAGTGGTGAGTCATGTGGAGGAACACTTGCTTTGTATCTGAAGCATGAACTCCATGTCCTCCTCCCCACCCACTCATACTCAAATTGATGACCGGATCAAACAGACAAGTAGCAGTGCTCTCTGCAGCCAGACCCCTAGTATTTGTCACCGTGCTTGACAAAGGAATGGGAAGAAAAGAGGGGGTTTCCTTGTTTCTGTCAGTCTACCCTCCCCCTTCTGTCAATCCTGCTATTTGCTCGGCCCCAGCGTTAACTCCCACGAACAACCGGGCTAGGGTAAATTGAAAGTGCATTCTCAGACACTCAGGTCCACCTTTGACTCTTTCTGCCTCCCCATCCCCAATTCCGCCCCACCGCCTCAGTGAAATCTAGTTCTGTGGAACCCTAGGTTCTGCACACAGAGGCAGGGATTTTTGCCTTCCAGGGTGGAAGGGGACTTCATTTAGATTACACGTAGAAGCTGGGGTTTTGATAAGGACCGGATCTGATGATAGGGGTCAGGAGCCTGTACTCTGATAAAACGGAAAACCTTAGTTCTGTTCTGAAACTTGAACCTGTGAATTTCCCGGCAGCAAGGGGCAGGGAGTGGAAGGATCTTTCGGAGAAAGCAGTCAGTTTCAGGTTTCTGGGAGTTTACTAAAAAGCTTGCCTTAACTCTATCGTCCTCGAAAGTTTTCGTACTGGACCTCACAAGTGACTTAAGTACAGGCCCTGGGTATTGTCAGTGTTGTCTGTGGTTTGAGCTACATCCTCAATTCCCAGGCAGGATTGACAGCTCCAGTTTCATCAAGGGTGGGGGTACGATACTTGCCTTCTAGCCAGCGTAGTCCTGGTTCCTCCCTCCAAGCCCCGCCCTGAGTCCTTTGAACTTCTGGGCGCCGCTGGCCTTAGAGCCAAGCCGAGCGTAGTGGAGCGCTCCCTGCAGTTCTGTTCAGTCTTTAGACACCAAAATGAAGACGCAGTAAGTGGAAAAGCAGCTGAGATCCTCTTTTAGAATCTAGAGTAGGGAGTCTGAAGTTAAAACAAACATAAGCCCTCTCCGAGTTGGGGACATCCGAAGAGTTTAGGGACTTGCCCCGGCCGGTCTGTCCGCAAACCCGCGGGCGAGGCGCGTTGCATCCAGCCTGGATCCTCAAGAGCGCGGGACTACAGCTGTCCCGCGGGCCCCTCCTCGGATTTGTGACGTGCCGCAGGCTGTTGCGGTGACGAGGCCACCACACAAAGCCGGGCGGTCCGGGTGAAGGAACCCAGGCCGAGAGTCCTGACGGGATGGGGAGGGAACGGGGAGCGAGGCGCCCCCGGGCGCCCGGGCTCCCCGCAGCATTAAAGTGAGCACCCAGCCAGCGGCCGGAGGCCGGCGGAGGGTGGGCCGAGATCGCCCTTCTCGCGCTTGGCTCTTGTGGCCTCGCTGGCCGCCCGCGCGCCCGGCCCGGCGGGGGATAGCCACGCCCACTTTGGGGTGGAGCCGCGGCCCGGGGAGGCTCCGCTGTTGGAGACGCCCAGGCCCGGGGCGGGGGCTGTGGCAGCAGCTGCAGCACCGGCGGCGACAGCAGCGTCAGGAGCTGCTGCAGCAGCGGCGGAGGCTGCTTCTGGACGACTTGGGGTCGCGCAGCCGCAGCCCCAGTCCGGAGGCTCCAGGCGGTGCGCTAGGCGCTGCCGCCGCTGCTGCTGCTGCGGGCCCCCCGCCGCTTCCCGGGCCCCCTCTGCCACCCGGGCCCCGGATGCCGTCTGCACTCCGGTCAAGTCTGCTGGAGAGTGCGCCCCAGCCTGGTCGCCGTCCCCGGCCTGGTCTCCACTCCTCCGCCGCACCTCCCATGACAGCTCCCGCTCGAAGATGGCTGCGAAGGGCACGCACGGCACCCACCTGAAGGTGGAGAGCGAGATGGAGCGCTGCCGCGCTGAGGGCCAGTGGGACCGCATGTTCGAGCTGGTCCGGCATCTGCAGATGCTGGGCATTTCCGGCGGCGGCAGTAGCAACCGGCGAAACAGCCCGAGCGGCAGGTTCACCTCTCTGGACACCGGTGAGTGAGGGAAGGGAAGGTTCGCCCGGAGCGAGCGCGCGAAAAGCACCGCCTCGTCCAGGAAGCGCGACTCGACCGACCATCCTGAGCCGGCGCTGGGCGTTACCCTCCGGCTTGCCGAGGCAGTTAGGAACGTCCTTCTGTCCCAAGAGAAAAATCTCTTTGCAGATTAGGTGTTTGAAGAGAAGAGAGAGAAAGAGAAAAGTTTGTGCTCTTTGCCTTTTAAGGTCACGTGGGTAACCCTACCGTGAAATGGAGGTTTCTGTAGGTATCGGACCCTTGCCTCCCTAAACTGCCAAAACTCCCTCATGTTAAATTTGTTTCTCTGTGTTTTCTCTTATTTTCCCTTCAAATAATGTTGAGACCAAGCTCTGTCCACAGTAGACTTAGAGACCGAGGCGTTTGTTGAGAATTGGGTAGGTCGGAGAAGAGGCCGGCAAGCCTCAGGATCTTCGCCAGTGGTGGACACTGGCCCCATCCAGTCTTGGCAGCCTGTGGCTTTAGCAGCAGGGCTGGTTTAGCTGGGCTGGGCTCTTGTGCTGGAGCGGGAAAACACCCTGATGGGGTGGAGGGAGAACCCCGCCTAGTCTCCAGACCCAGATCCTGTTTCGGGCGTCTTGCTCTCTGCCTTGAGAGAGGTTCAGAGCCCGCCGCGTGTACACACCCACCTTTTCCGAAGGAGCAGAGAATAATCAGAATATAAAGAGTTTTCCAAAACCACCCAACCCGGGACGCCTCTGTGGGAGTGATAGGGTGATTATGACAACAATAATACCCTGCTCCGATATAGTGCTTACTGTATGCCAGACTTAAGTCATCACTCCTCCCAGCTACTCCTAGTTGCTGTTTTTGCTGTGTTTATAGGTAAATAACTTAATCAGCCAAGAAGTTGTGAAATATGAACTCCGGATTCTGAGTACATCTTTTCATTTGTTCTATGTTCTCTCAAAGATGCGTACCCTTGCAGAGCACCCAGGGTGGGTAGGAGGCAGGATGGTAGAGAGTTGTGGCTTAGATTGCAGAGCTCAAAGGAAGGGCAGAGGGATTCGGCCGACCTGCCTGGTGTTTGGGAAGGGCAGGGTGTTTGCCCACAGAAAGTCCTGAATGCAGGACTCCCAGGAGGTCTGAGAATGGCCCAGGGGTGCACCTGTCAGTTCTTCCCTGTTCCAGGGCACTAGCAGGAAATTTACAGGAATCCTCTGTGCTGGTGTGGGTAGGACACACGAAAGTATTGGTACCTGGTACCCCGTGTGGGAATATGAGTGAGGTTAGCCCCACAGAGCAAGGTGCTGGGCCCCAGACAGGAAGCAGTGGGCTTGTTTTTCCTATGTTCTTCTTTAGAGCTTCCAGGGAGGCTCACCACTTGGCTAATCAGTATCCCAGGAGGAAAAAGTTTAGGGAAACAAAAAGCTGAGGGAAGAATGGATTCAAAGATGGACTTTAATATCAGACTGCAGGCCTTCTGGGCTTGGTACCACACATCTGCAGTCCTATCAAATGGAAGGCGAAGGGAGAGGGTAGGTTTTAGTTTGAGGCCAATCTGGGCTGTGTATGTATTGGTGAAATTCTTTCTTTGAAAAAAGAAAGAAAAGAAAGAAAAAGAAAGGGAAGGAAGAAAACAAATCCTATGGAGCTAAGTGGCAGAGTCCCTAGGTTTGATGCCCAGCACCCATAGTAACAACCACCATCAAAACTTTCAGGACTTTTCAGATTCATAATGTGATCATCCAGTGTGAAGTCAAAGTGAGGTTCATACATGAATGCTGTGTTTCCCAAACCTAAGTGGACCATCTTCTATGGAGCGCCTTTGGGAAGCAGGCACAGCATTGTTTAACTTCCTGCTAATAACCCTGTGAGGAGGGTAGAAGTTTTCTCCTTATCTTTGGTATGAGGACACCAGGGTGCAGAAGTCACTTAATGTGTATGTTGGTGTGCTCATTCATGAACATGTCCTAGCCAGAATGCTGGCACTAGTGGTATGAGTTGAGACCTGGAGCTTGAGTTTTGAGTTGTCTTTGACAGTGTGGGGGCAGGGACACAGGAACAGACAGACAGACACAGGGACACACATGTACACACACACCCACCACCAACAACAACAACAGCAACAATAATGAAAATGACAACGACAAGAGGAAGGAAAGCACATAGTGCCCAGAACATCCAAGAGCATCTTGGATTGACAGCTATTTCTCTTTCTCTGGATTCCATAGTTACTCAGAGAATAGGAACCTCATGTGGGGAAAAATAATGTTGGTGCCCATTTCCCTAACTGCAGTGTAGGAAGGATAACTGCAGTGTAGGAAGGGCACACACCACAGCTCAGCACTGGAAAGAGGGCAGAAGCAGAAGCATCTCTATGAGTTCAAGGCCAGCCTGGGCTACATAGTGAGTTCCAGGTCAGGTCAGATAGGGCTACATAGTACATAGTGAGACCCTGACCAAAAAAAGATTATCCTTTTTAAAAATTTTGTGTATTTTAATTATGCACATGGATGTGTGGACATAAATGAATGTGCCCATGGAGTCAGAAGGTCCTTGGCTTCCCTGAAACCACTGAGCAGTCAGACTCTTGCTACCTAATGGTAGCATAAGGAGGAAAAAGACAGAGGTTACTAAGAGGGTGTGGGGGTGGCCGAACCCTAGACATCCATATTTCACGGAGGCCCTGAGGGCTGCTGTGTCAGCGCTTTCTGTGGAGACTTGGAGGGACATCAGAAGTAGATTCCAGAAGATGCCAGAGAGAGGAGCCGGCTCCTGAGCAGGTTGGTTGAAGGAGCTGAAGCACACAGCCCAGGCCTTTTTCCCAGTCTGAATAGGCTGCTCCTCCCATGGGGGAGGTAGTTACTATCTGTGTGTATTCTTCAAACTCACATCCAGTGCGATTTGGTGAGCACGGGTGCCAAGAGCTTCGCAGTCTGGCCTGTGACATTGAGGTTGTGTTGAAAACAAAGCCGTCCCAGTATTCTGATTTGATTTTTTAATCAACTTTCCCCATTACTTTTATTTATTTTATCTGCGGGGCAGGTGTACTTGAGCCAGAGTGTTCTTGTGGAAGTTAGAGACCAACTCGCAGGAAGTCACTTTTTCCTCCCACCATGGAGGTTCCGGGGACCTAACTTAGGCTGACAGGCAAGATGAAAAGTTTTGCTTGAGCTGTCTGGCAGCCAGCCAGTGTTTTAAGTCTGTGAGAACATTATTATGAAACATTTACAAAATACTTTAAGAAGGGAGAAGGAACCACGTCTATTATCAACCAACTTCAGCGGTCATGAGCTTATGAACAATCTTTTTAATAAATTAACTTACATTTTATTTTATTTGTGTGTGTGTATTTGTGTGTGCGCGCGCATGCACTCGAGATACACTCTTCTGTCAGAGGACAGCTTGCTGGAGTCTCTTCTCCTCCCACCATGAGGTCCCATCTGCTCTAACACGACCACCACCCGCCCCCAAAAAAAATCAAACGAAAGAAAAAATACACAAAATTCTGTGCCCTCTTTCTAATTTTTTTTTAAATCAATCTGATTCAGCCAAATCAACAATGCTTTTTCTAGTTTCTACAAGTTAACTTTTTTTCCCACATGTGGAGGAGTCACAAGTTTGAGACTGCACTGCTGCACACCGCCACCGCCACCGTGGGAGGCATAGGTTCAAATGTTTGTGAGAAGGGGCTCTCAAGTCTCTTTTGTCATGCAAGGTATCCGAGATTAGGGGCCTGTATTTCTGGGAGGGCGGTGAACAGCCCGCAGGCCGAGGCGTTAAGCTGCCAAGGGAGAGGATCTGGGGTGAAGCGGGCTCTTTCACAGGAGGGGCCTGGTGAGGGACACACCAGCGCCCTGGAGCTGGCTTGGAACCCTGCTGGTTTGGAACCCTACTGTGGGTTTCCTGAGGCCGGGCCAACCACTGAGCCACAAGCACAGAAGTACACAGCTCGTGAGGGAGCTGGGGCTGATGACGAGCGAGCGTCCTTGCTCTTCCCAGCTGAGATTTAGAAATGAGGTCGCCTTCTGCGACTGCAGGCACTACTCTGTGCGCTGCTTTTTTCCTTCCTTCTTTTTTTCTTTTATGAGGCAGGGTCTCACAGAGTAGCTCAAGCTGACCCAGAACTCAATATTTAGACTAAGCCTGGAACTTACAGAGATCTGGTGCTGCTATTGGGATTAAAGGGGTGTCACTACCATGACCTGCTCACTCTGCTTGCTTCCTTTCTTCTTTTGACAAGGCCTCACCATGATCTCACTATGTAGACCAGAGTGATCTTAAACTCGGAAATCTGCCTGCCTCTTCCTCACTGGTACCACTTTAGCTTGAAGTTCCTCCCAGAGTTGCACATACGGAACACCCTCTCTCTATTTTGTGGGTGCAGGGTGCCCCTTTTTATGGACATATAAAATTTTAATTAGCAACCTATTTTTTTCGTTTGTTTGTTTTGTTTTTTGGGTTTTTTTTTTTTTTTGCTAGTATACATGCTGCTGGATGAGGAGTTATGAGTTGGTTGTTTTACACATGTGCAAAGGCATCTATCTGTAGGATGTTGCCAAGTAGGCCCTTCTAGAAGTTTCTTCAACTTAGGTTTCATCAGCACATCATGTTTAAAGGCAAATCCTCAAAACGTTAATTTTTAAAATCCTGAGTTTGGCAGCAAAGGATATGATGGTGTTTCCTCAGGGTAAACCCATTGTGGGACAGTGCAGCTACGATTCAGGTTTAGGGCTGCGTGGTGTTGTTAGGGATGGAGATTTCTCACAGGAGGGCTGCAGACATGGCTCCAGAACTGAGCAAAGGCAGTGATTCTCAGAAGGAGAGAGCAGTGTAGCAGCTGAAAGCATTGTGAAAAGGCAGGACAGAGCAGATGCTCCTAGAGGTACTACTGACATAGCTGCCCCTGTCTATTGGCTTCCTCTCCAGAAAGCTAGGAGATCTGACTCACCTGACAGGTATTTATTAGGCCTATCTCGTGTGTAATGGGGCAGGCAGTGAGCTGCCTTTTTGGACTGTTGGGATACCTGGCTCCCCTGTGGGGTGTGTGTGTGTGTGTGTGTGTGTGTGTGTGTGTGTGTGTGTCTGTCTGTCTGTCTGTCTGTCTGTCACAGGTAGCAGAATGTGGTAGTGACAAGATTGGAATTTCACTGTGGTGGGGGAAGCACAATCAAATAGTCTAAAGCTACTTGCCAGGCCATGAGGTGTGCAATCAGCTCCTATATGAGACAACTCTTAAAAATGGAAACTGTACATGCCACATTCGCTCTTTGGCTGCTAGGTCATCCACTAAAGTCCTGTAAGATGGGGCAAATTGATTATGCAACCTCAGGAACTAGGAGAGTGTGAAATGTCCTGTGAAACCCTCGCAGTACAGTTCTTCCCTTCCATGGTTTGAGTGGGGGCTTTTTGTTTTTCCATGGGTTCTTGCTCTGTTGCCCAGACTGGGTTAGAACTCCCTTCAATCCTCAAAGACTATTTAAGTTTTTGGAAAATGCACCTTTGTTTTCTCAGACTTGAGCCATTGTGCTGGGTAGGGGTGGTTCGGGGCTCAGGATATCTTACTATGCATCTTCAAGGAGTCAAGGATCCTTGTCTTGTTTTTCAGATGACTTTGGAAAATTGCTGCTAGCAGAGGCCCTTCTGGAGCAGTGTTTGAAGGATAACCACGACAAAATAAAAGACTCCATCCCTTTGCTGGAGAAGACTGATCACAGGCTGAACAAAGCCAAGGACCACCTGAGCAGCATCCTTAACAATGGGAAGCTGCCGGTGAGTCTTCAGATTGTCTTACTCAGAGATCAGGGCAGAGCAGACTCTCTAGGCAGCAGGTGGATTCTTGTGTATCCCAAGTAGCTCTGATGGATGTGGAGAAGAGGCTAGGAAGGCAGTCCTGAGGTGCCTCCTCCTTTTATCAGAATCCTACAATCTGGTGATTCCTGAAGTCCCAGCTTGCTCAGTTCTGTGGAGATCAGTGATGTAAGCCACTGCCCTAGCTTCTGCTACTCACTGGGCTCAGAACTGCAGCATCTCATTAAGTCTGCCCAGGTACTTCTTATGATGCCTTTAGCCCCACTTCTGTGACCTGGGAAAGGCAACCACTTAGCAAATATGGTTCCACCTGCTCTGATATCTCAAGCTCTTGAGAACTAGAGTGGCAATAACATAGTGACCAAGGAACTTGGGCCTGTTGAAGGACAGCTTCTAGGAGTTTCAGTCTCAGAGTGAGACGTTCTCATCTGTTATTTCCTATTGGGCAACTTTATGAGAGTACAAGGACATGAGGCAGAGATAGGACAGGCAACTAAAGATTTACTTAGCAGGGGATCGTTATCCTAAGCTGAGGAACTCTTGCAGGCAGCCTTCAGCTGGGCAAGGATGTGTCATCCTCATTGGTCACATCCACAAACCAAGAAGACTTAAAATTCAGACACAGGGTCATTGACTTTTAATGTTGCCAAGTAAAGACATTAGAGAAATGACAGTACAGCAGTGGGACTATATGGTCATCTTTGATCCGTAAAAGAGAAAAACACTGTCCCTGTAGTGTTGGCTGCCCTAATGTAAACTGTAATTAGTCCACAGGGATCTGCCAACAGCAACACCCACTCTTTATGGCCTGAGTGTGTCCTTACAAGTCTTGGTGCCCTTTCACCTGTGAGCACAGTCATAATCATTGCCCGTGGCCTGTGTTTATCTTGCTTCTGTCTCGGGCAGATCAGAGCTGTGTTCTAGACTTTGCCCTATTAATGCCATTAGCCTCCCTGGGATGGGAGGCAGGGAATGGGTATTATTATCTCTTCTTCATCACAAGGAAGATGGGGCTGAGTAGGGAGAACATGAGCCTGTCGCTTGAGACCTCTACATGGAAAGGCAAAGGCACAGCTGAGAAGCTCTGTGGGCTGCATCCTGCTGGGAATGTGTTACCTGGGGCCCTGGCTGGGGACGTACGTGGCTTCTTGAGGAAACTAACAAATGGTTTTTTAAAAATTAGCCTTTGAGAGAAACTGCTGGACACTTTTGGGATTTTTCACAGTTTGTCTGAACACTGAGACTACAAGCAGTTAGGATGGCGTGTGGAAGTCAAAGCCACACTTCCTGGGTGACTCCTCCGCCAGCCAGGCCCCTCAGATGAGGGCTGCTCCCAGAAGAGCACCTGCAGCTCAGCCTCCAGCAGCAGCTGCACCATCTGCAGTTGTCTCACCACTGCTGCACCCCAGCAGCCAGGTCTGATGTCCCAGATGGCTACCACTACAGCCAGTGTGTCTGTGGGCTCTGCAGTGTGGGACACACCCTGGGTCACACCATCACTGGGGGCTGCAGCGGAGGTGGTGATGCTGAGCCTGCAAAGCCTGACATCACTTACCAAGAGCCTGAGGGAGCCCAGCTGCAAGACCAGCAGTTGGACCTTGTTCACTAGAGAGCAAGAAGTTTCTGGAGTGTGCTCAGAACCAGAGCGATGTCAAGCTCTGTGAGGGCTTCAACAAGGTGCTACGGCAGTACAGAATTGCAAATAGTTTAATCTAATCAAGAAATCAAGCTGAAGAAATATAAAATTGGTTCTGTATAATTGATAGTACAAGTGCAGACCCTTATTTGTAACAGCTTCATTGCTTCAGAATGGCCATGAAAGAGATCTAACTACAGATGTTTACTGAGGCTTATAGTGCTGGTTACTGGGCAAGTGTGTGGCCTTCTTGAACCAACTGTATTGAGATTATGAGTTTAAAAAAAATAGTTTATTCTGAAGAAAGAAATCAGCCTTTGAGAATTAAAGGTATTCAGAACAGAAATAGTTGTGTAGGCATTGCAAGGCATTGTGGGAACTTCACAGAAGGGAGCTTCCTAGGACTAAGGAGGCTTCTAGAAGGAGGTGTGGCTGAGGGACTAGATGACAATCTTGGCAGGCATAGGGAAGGTTCTGAGTGAGCGAAGGCAATGAAGGATAGAAATTCACCAAATTAGAGATTCATGGTGATTGAGGATGGAAGGTTTGCTTCCACAGGGCCTGGCTTTGTCTCACCCTGTCTCTCTTACTTGGCCCCTTAGAAAGACGATGGTGATGAGCATGGAGGAAGTTCTCCTGGGATCACAGATACCTTGACCTACCTTCCCACTGCAGACTGAGAATCTCCAGCCAGTGGGAGAGGTTAGAGATTGGAAACAGGATTTCATCTCCAGGGAAATAGTCTGATTGGTGCCCTTGTACCAATGGCAGTGGCCAGAGCCTGACCAATAGGCAAGTTGTGCATAAGGCTCTAGCAAGTGCCATTCAGAGATGGAAGATCTCAGAGTAGACTTCCATCTGATGCTAAACTTCAGGGCTCCTGCCCAGCCAGCTCAGCTCAGCCTCTCAGTTGGTGGTACTGGCTGATTTGTCAGTGAGCACAGCCCTACCAGGGTAGCTCGGCCAGGGCCAAGTCCCTGGCCAAGTAGAGTAGCTGAGGTCCTAAGGATGCTGTGAGAGTCCTCTGAGTGGGTGGAGATTTGCATATAGAGGCAGGGTTTGGATTAGGTCTTCTGGGTCTCCCAGTCTCTGCACTTAACCCTACTTCTGCTAAGATAGGATTGTGGCCCAGCAGGCCCCTCACCTCCTGTCCCATGCTGCTAATGTGGCTGCTTCCCCTTCCAATGTCCTGATGCAGGGGCGTGGGTGACAGCTTTTGGGTCCTCATGAGCTCTTTCTAAAGCCTTTCACCTAATTTCTCTAATTTCACCTAACACACACACACACACACACACACACTATAAATTTGGGGCTCCATAAAATTTGGCTCATTTCCCTGCCCCTAAGTATTGAATTTCTGGGGGGATAGCCTGGATCAGAGGCTTGTAGGGGCTCAAGAGAGGGCCCAACTCTACAGCTGCCTGAAGTCAAGACAGGAAGCAATTAGGGATAGTCTAAGCATTTTATTAAGAGCCATGGTGTAGGCAGTAGTCTGTGGACTTGGCTGTGGAAGCACTGGAGCACAGGTATCGTGGAAGACTTCCTGGAGGAGGAGAGTTTTGAACAGGGTTTTAGGCAAATTGTGACTTGTGGCTCAGTAAGAGAGGGATAGAAGCTTTGGAGTGGGAACCTGTTAACACATCTTTGTCCTTTCAGCCACAGTACATGTGTGAGGCCATGCTGATCCTGGGCAAGCTACATTATGTGGAGAGCTCATACCGGGACGCCATCAGCATGTATGCACGGGCTGGGATCGGTGACATATCCGTGGAGAACAAGCCCCTGTATCAGATGCGGTTGCTGTCGGAGGCCTTTGTCATCAAAGGTAGTTGCCCACTCCTCTTTGGGCTCCCCCACTGCCCAGCTGGTCCACTCTGATCTCAGGCATCTAGAGCAGGCAGCAGCATACATGGGGTAGTGAACAACATGTTGGAGGCGGGACTGCAAGGCAGTGTCAAGATGTTAACCCCAGGCCATGACTACACAGTGCTGTTAAAGGAGGGCTGCTCAGGGCAGTCTGGTGCTCAAGGGACTGGAGGACTCAGGCTCTCACCTGGCCTTTGTTGACAACTAGTTACCACAGTGGATGCCTCTTTACCTTTCTTGGCTGCAATTGACCTGTTTTTAAAGGAGGTTGTGATACCAGCCCTTCCAGTGTTCTCGTGACCTGCTGAGTTGTGTAACCAGGTCAAGAAAGCCTTAAAGAGTGTGGCAGTTCTTGTCCCGCCTCCTGTATCACTCTCCAGATGCGGGGCCTCTGCTGTGAGCAGAGAGGGAACACTAAGATAAGGACTTCATGTCCTGAAGGATCTTTTAACCCTCCCAGGGCAAAGAACACTTTAAAAGAAGGATTGAGGCCTAGAGAGGAAATGTACTTTGCCCAAATGTACCCATTTGAGTGTGGACCAGAACCACTGTCTGTGATGTTAACATAGGAAAATGTGTTTTCCCTCCCTGTCCTGACACAGATACATTTCTATGTAGGCTTCGGGTCCTCATGGAAATAACTGTGACTTCTGTAGAGAGGACCTTGACTCTGGCTGCTCCCTGAGTCCTATGCCTATCGAGTCCCCTATTTTTAGGAAGCCTACCAAGTTAGTTTCCCTGGACAGGTGGGGTGGAGGTACCCACCTTTTAGGGCCCAGCTGTGAGGTCTCCTTCCTCTGCTTACACCCTGTGTCACAGGCTAGTCTTGGGGAGCGATCGTAGTTTGGTGCTCAGATCTTTGGGGTTTCGTGGGAACCACTTCAGCTATGGATATCCTGAACTGAATATCCTCCCTTGGGGCTCCTTCTCAGGTCTTTCTCCTACCAGCCTTGCTCAGTATGTATTGTTCTCTGTGTCCTGCTCTCTACTCTCTCCAGCATGCCTCCAGCTTCTTGGGGGAACACAGTCCTGGTGGTCAGAGGTCCTGCCAGGGAGGTAAGGATCCGGCATTGCTCGAATGAGCTGAATGGGCCACTCGGCTGTAGGCTGTGCTGGCTCCCCCATCCCTCAGTGATTGCATGTGTCCTCTTCTGCCATTTGCCTGACTCCTCTGCTTGACCCCTCTGTTCTGTTGCAGTGACCACACCTGCTGCTTGGTATGTCGGGATTTGCCTGAGCCTGAGTGTGCTTGAGACCATGCACAAAGCACAAGGGTGTGTGCCTGCTGTAACCTAACTGAGGCTGTGGGATCTCATGGGTCCCTTCATCCAGAGGGCACACAGGGAGATGGGAAGGGCTGACTGTGGGACTGGCTTCATTTGTGAGCTTCAGTGACAGCAGAGTAATGTCACTGCAGCCATTACATCCTCATGCCAAGTCAGGTGTGGCTTACCTAAGTCGGCACACCACTGAGTTGGTGCTCTCTTCTTCCCAGGTTACACATGAGGAGTTGAGGGGTTGCGGTAGCTCCTGTCAAAACTCACAAGGGTTTGGGGCAGTCAGACAACCTCTGGCGTAGTACTCAGAATTATAGGTAGAAAGGAATTACCCCAAATCCTTATGTTCTAGATAAGGATACTGAGGTGATGGAAGGGAAGCCATTTACCCAGTACATCCCTTAGCTTCTGTTGGGACTAGCATTCTCTGTGTCCCAGGAGCCTGTCAATTTTGGCTATTTCTAATTCTGGGTGACCTCTAAATGAGCCAGCCTAAGCTATAGCTTTCTTTTTCTTTTCCCATTTTTGCGTGTGTGTGTGTGTGTGTGTGTGTGTATGCTCCTGTGTGTGTGTGTGTGTGTGTGTGTGTGCACGCACGTGCGCGCAGGTTATATGCATGTTTGTGTGGATGCATGTTTGTGTGTATATATGTGGGTCCTCATGCATGTGTGTGCATGCATGTATGTGGGGCTCTGAAGTTAGTGTTGGGAACTCTCCTCAATTGTTCTTCTTCCATTCTCACTGAGGCAGGGTCTCTCAAACACAGAGCTTGCCCTGAAGATGCTGCCTCTACCTTCTGAGATTGAGATTACAGCAGACCACCATTCCCACCTAGCACTTATGTGGGTTCTGGAGATCCCAACTCTGGCCTTTATGTTTGTACAGCAAGTCCTTTAACCACTGAATAATCTCCGGGTGGGGTTCATTTGGTGCCACCCAGTACACCCCTGGCTAAGAGGGAGAGGACAGAGCTTCTGTGTTAGAAGGGGTCTTGTCTAGCCACCTGCGGTCAAGGCTCAATGCTTTAATGTTCAGTTCTCAATTTAAAGGGGAAGCCCCACCCACACCACCGAACCCCTTCTAGCTTCAGCAGGTGTGGGTGGAGGGAACCCATCCTTTGTAATAATAGGCAGAGATGTCTCAAGACAAGCTCAGCAGACAGTTTTTCTGCTCAGAGGGCAGTTATTCTTCTAAGTTCCTGTAGCAGGCTGTATGTTCGGCCAAGGTGGGTAACTCCACCTAGGTCCTATTATTACTGGTCTATTGTGGTAGACAAGGTCTTTCAGGTCTGCTCAGGGCTGGGGAAAGGGCACAATCTTGAGCCAGCCAGTCTGGGAGACTTGATGGGGCCAAATGTTAGCTGCTGTTCTTTTTCAGGACTGCTCTGGTCCCTCCTCCCATTCTCAACGACATGAAGGCAAACCCATTCATAGCTTCCCCTGTAGAGCAGAGGGACTTGACTGTCACCCTCAGGGCATCCCATAAGGACATAAGCTACACTCCTTATCAGATTGGGACTCTTGTTCCCAGAGAGTCAGAGGTGCTGACTTTAAACCTCACTGGGAACCTTGAGACAGGGACCTTAGTTGTAGTAGTTTGGGTTTCTGTTGTCCAAAGAGCAGCATTTGACACATGTGTGTCTGTAGGACAAGGAATACGTGATAATCCTACTTCTCCAAGGGTATGTAAGGTTCCTTCAGAATAGAGGACTGACAAGATGGCTGTCTTGTGTGATGTCATTCCAGTGGGTAAGGGCTCTTGATGTCAAACAAAATGTCTCAGTCACTGTTCTATTGCTGTGAAGAGACACCACAACCACGGCAACTCTTTAAAAGGAAGCATTTAACTGGATGCTGGCTTACAGGTTCATAGGTTTTGTCCATTGTCAACATGGCAGCAGGCTGGTGTGGTGCTGGAGAAGTAGCTAAGAACTACATCTTTATCTGAATGCAGAGAGAGACTGGGCCCAGCACGGACTTTTGAAACCTCAAAGCCCACCCCCAGTAACACACTTCCTCTGACAAGACCACACCTCCTAATCCTTGTAATCCTATAAAAGTTCCACTCCCTGGCGACTAGGCATTTAAACGTATGAGCCTACGGGAGCTGTTCTCCTTCAGGAGACCTGATGACCTGAGTCAGTCCCCAGGACTCACGTGGTGAGAGGAGAGAACTAACTTCTAACAAGTATCCTCTTACTTTCATGCTGTGTGCATGAATAGATGTAGAAAGAAGCCCCAAACAATGGAGAAATACAATATTCTCACTAAAATAGAAGAAAATGCCTTCATGAAAAGGCCTGCCATTCCTGAGATTCTGTTCCTTGCTTGCTCTTGAGTCACTGTCCCAGTTGGTCCTATCCTTTCTTACTTTAAGCATGAACCCCAACATTGCATTTGGGCAGGCTAAGTAATCCCTGCACAAGCATCTCCCTGGGTTATTCAGCATATAGCATCTCTCCTCTGCCAAGCTCACTTTTGGTATGTTCACCCTATTCTGTCTATTCAATGGGCTCCTTCCTCCTGAAGTCTGGCCTCCAGTGTTTCTTGAAGTCTCTGGCCCACATTTCACTAAGAAATATGATTTGGCAGCAGTTGATGAAGCAGGCCCCTGTTAGGGTTGCCAAGGGTGAGAAGCTAGGTGTGTTCCCTTGTATGAACGATGGGCAAGTGAGCGGAGCCTGCCTTGTATGGTATGGCTCCAGGAAAGCAGCATTCTGGAAGTTGCCAGAACTGGGGGAATGAGCTCCCTGGTGCCAGTCCTTCCTGTCCAATCTTAGTCTTAACAGCAGTGAAGTCTGCTATCTCTAAAAAGCAGAAAATAGAAACCCATGGAGAAGGCTGGTCTATAACTTAGAGCCATGGACGCTGCATGGCCATGATGTCTTGGCCACGTGGCTGACCCCAGGCCTGATTCATGAGAGATTCTGTCCTGATTCTCAGCCTTCTGAACATTTGAGGGGGCAGTTTGTTGAACATTTGGGCTGCTGCTGATGCTGGGCAGTTCCCCTTCTAGTGTGAGTGGAACACTTCAGGCATCCTATAGTCTAGTGTGAGCAGAACACCTCAGGTGTCCTATAGTCTAGTGTGAGCGGGACACCTCAAGTGTCCGATGGTCTAGTGAGAGTGGAACACTTCAGGCATCCTATAGTATGAGCAGAACACCTTGGGTGTCCTATAGTCTATGAAAATATTTTTGAATTTTTTTTTATTTTAAAAGTAACTTTGAAAAATTTTGGCAGGAAAGATAGCTCAGTGGTTAAGAGCACTTGCTGCTCTTGCAAAGGACCTGGAGTCTGTTCCAGGCATTCACATGGTGGCCCAAAAACACCTGTTACTCCTGTCCCAGGGCATGTGATGCCCTCTTCTGGTGTTCACAAGCACCAGTCAGCAGGCAAAACATTCATATACATAAAATACACTAAATAAATCTTTAAAAAATAATAGTAGGGCTGGGAATGTAACTCAGTCAGTAAAATGCTTGTCTAGTACATCTAAAGGCTTGGGCTTGTTCCCAGCACCACATAAAGCTGGGCATGGTAGCATAGGCTTGTAATCCGAGCACTTAGAAGGTGGAGCCAGGAGGACCAAAAGTTCATGGCCATCCCTGAAGCTAGTCTGGGCTACATGAGACCAAAAGACAATGTAAAAACCATGTTAAAACTCACACACACACAAATGCA